CGCCAGCACGCGTGCGTCAGGCGGCGAAGTGTCGGGGCGAAGAGGCGCGACGCCGGCTTCGAGCCCCCTCCGAAGCCGTCCGGACACTGCCCGAATCGCTTCGGGAGAGCGGGGCGGGCAGATCGCGACCCCGGAGGCAGACTGGGGGAGGGGCCGGCGTTCCCTCGTGGATCGCGCGTTTGCAGCTCCCGGGGGAAGCGACGCGTCACGGGAAGGAAACATACGTGTCCCCCCCTAAAGCAAGGGGGTCTTTCCACCTCGGTATTCCGGACCCTCCGCAAATTTGCAAAGCTTGGGGGTCCCCATAGAGGTCAAACGTCAGTACGTAAACCACGGGCCGGAGCAGCCGGCACAGGGATTCTGAGAGTTGTCCGTTAACCGTCATCCGTAAACCGTTATCACCTAGGTAACCAGGTTCCACCGGCTTCCCCATTGCGGATTCTCGGCAACTATTTCCGCGCACGCGCAAATTCCCTCCCCTGCTCTCGGTCTCCTCAGAACGCGTTTCTCACGGGATTTGGCCCTTAGGTTGCTCCGTAGCCAGAGGTGGGGCCGAACGGGAGGCATAAAAGGTTTCAGGCTTGGGATTGGTTCGCACTTCCTGTTCCCGGAACCCGGTGGGTGTGGCGCGAAGGCCGGAGGGAGCGTGGCCGGCGGCTGCGGGCATCTGGGCCGCCGACATGCCTCGGTATGCGCAGCTGGTCATGGGACCGGCAGGCAGCGGGAAGGTGAGGATTTGGGGGGAAAAGGAGGAGTTCGTGGGAGGCGGGGATTCGGGCCGTGAGGCGGGTAGACCGGCAGGTGTATGTGCTGGGGACCCTGAGACCCAGCTCCGTTCCCTGCTGCTCTCAGCGGCTTCCTTTGGGTTGTTTTGAAAGGGCGGTCATGGTAGGTGTTCATGTTTATTGATTACTTAAGCCCCAGGCACTGCGCAGAGCGCCTCGGAGGTTTCACAACGATCCTGTGAGCTAGATCCTGTTATTCCCATTTTACAGAAAACGAGACGCAAATTCTCTTTGCCCAAGGCCGCACAACTAGTAAGTTACGGCCGAAGTTTGAATCCAGTTTTGTCAACTGCAGAATCCGGCCCTCTGTGGCTCCCAGGGGGTTCAGGAGGGGCCTTGTTAATTACTGTTTCTGAGAGCTCGGGACGTAGACTTCAAGTATTCGAGGACATGAACCTGACATTAAGGAGCATCTAATCATATAATGAGAAAGGTGTTCCATCTTAAGTTCTCTTTTCACTTCTTCACTTTACATTCAGGTGAAATTGTGCTAGTGTAGCTCTAACACTTTATTCCTCACGTCTTTTCAGATCTTGGAGTTTTTATTAGCACCGCTTTTAACTAGAATTAAGAGTATTTAAAAGTTTTAAGTGATTTTATGGTTGCCTTCACGTTATGATAAACATTACTGGTTTTCTGTTTACAGTAGAGAAAACATTTTTCTTGTGAACAAATATTAAGGAAACATTGTTGGGGCACTCAAATACAGTAGGAATGGTGAAGCTATTGATCAAATAACAGAAATGTGGGAAACACTAGGGTCTATGGAGATGTTGCATGGCTTCAGTTTTTTGTTTTTTGTTTTTGAGTTGGAGTCTCGCTCTGTTGCCCAGACTGGACTGAAGTGGCATGCTCCCGGCCACCGCAGCCTTGACCTGCTGGGCTCCGTGATCCTCCCACCTCAGCCTTCCAAGTAGCCGGAATTACAGGCACACGCTACCACGCCTGGCTGATTTTTGATTTATTGTAGAGGTGAGGTCTTGAACCCGCAGGCTCAGGCAATCCACTCACCTCAGCCTCCCAAAGCGCGGGATTACAGGCTGAGCCACCAGGCCCAACTGGCTTCAGTTTTAATTCAACAAACATATTGGTTCAGAACATATACATGTGACTAAGGTTTGGCCCTTTCCTGCCAAGAGTCTGTGGTCTGCTTGGGAAGACAGAGATCAATGTTTGGACTAATTGTGTTAGATAAGTCTGCCTTTGTTTAGATGATGCCTACTATCAGAAATACTCGTTGAGCATGTTCTTTATGCCAAGCACTATTAGGGGCTCTGGGGATTGTGCGAGGAAAAAAAACACAAAAAAAAATCCCTGCCTTGTGGAACTTATACTTAAACATAAGTCAGTCAGTTACAAGTAATTACCAAGCTTTTTTTTTTTTTTCTAAGACAGTATCTCGTGGTGTTGCCCAGGCTGGTCTTGAACTCCTGGGCTGAAGTGATCCTCCAACCTATCCTCCCAACTAGATGGGATTAGAGGCACATCGTAGCTCCTGACAGTTACCAAGCATTTATTATGTACCAGGTGCTGTACTAGTCCCTGGGCTTAGAAAACTAAATACATTATATCCCTGCCTTTATTTTTTAATTTTTTTTTTTTTTGAGTTGGAGTCTCACTCTGTCGCCCAGACTGGAG